AGAACATACAAGCCAAGTTCTATAATGAAAAATTCCCACTAGTATATGAAAGTGAAAACACAGGAGACTCTCTATATGAAGAACATGGTGCTACTCTGAAGTACAAGTGTGGGAAAGGATAGTAACATATCCCCTTCTCTCTTTTTCTCTTATTTTTTTGGTAGGCACTTTGGCCACTTTTTTTCATCCCGAGTCTCATCCTGACTTGTGGGGGAATCATAGTTTCCATCATCCTTTGCTCACTGGGACAATGCTCTAATATGATGATCATCACACTTTTATTTGCTTACAACTCGATAACTAGAACAATAGGACTCTACATGAATGCCTCTAGCAGTGTACCAGGATGTGCAATGATCTAGCGTAACATGTATAAAAGTGATGAACGGTGGCTGAACCATAAATATCATGTCAGCTCTATGATCATGCAAAGCAGAATGACAATGAACACGCATGTCATGAAGACAGAACGGTGGAAGTTGCATGGCAATATATCTTGGAATGGCTATGGAAATGCCATAATAGGTAGGAATGGTGGCTATTTTGAGGAAGATATAAGGAGGCTTATGTGTGATAGAGCGTATCATACCATGGGATTCGGATGCACCAGCGAAGTTTGCACCAACTCTCGAGGTGAGAAAGGGCAATGCACTGTACCGAAGAGGCTAGCAAATTGCGGAAAGATAAGAGTACGTATAATCAATGGACTCACATTATTCATAAAGAACTCACATAGTTATTGTGAAATCCTATTAGCTTAGTCATAAAGAACTCAAATACTTATTGTGAAAGCCTATTAGCTCTCGAAGCAAAGTACTAATCGCATGCCCCTAGGTAATTGGTTTGTAGGAGTTAACCATCGCGCGCATCCGATTATAACAGCACTCAAGGATTTCAATCAGAAAGACAAATGCTCAAACCTCCCCACCACTTAGACGAGCAGTTAATAAGAAGCTTTAATACCGATATTTCTACTAACCAATGATCTTGAACCAATATCCTTTCATATTACGACATCAATATCATTAAACCATGTGTTTCCTTTTTAGTGATCTAGATGAAAGTTTCTATTATATTCCCCTTGAATACATATCCTTCTTGGACCAGTCTTATAACCCGTACATATTTTCATTACTATTTATTAGACTCTCAAAAATATTTAAGTGAAACTTGAGAGTGCAATCATTTCAATAAAATATAACCACCGATGTGCTATAAAAGATATAAGTGAAGCACTAGAGCAACTGCCTAGTTCAAAAGATATAAGTGAAGCCTGTAGAGTATTCTAACAAATCACGATAAATGTGTGTCCCTCTAAAAATGTGTGCCTAGAAAATGATGATTGTGGCAAACTAAAAAGAAAACAAAGCAAAAATTATGGCACAAGACGCTCCAAGCAAAACTCATATCATGTGATGAATAAAATGTAGCTCCAAGTAACATACTGATAGATTGTAGGCGAAACAGGGGATGTCATTTGGGGCATCCCCAAGCTTAGACGCTTGGATCTTCCTTGAATACTACCTTAGATGCCTTGGGCATCCCCAAGCTTAGGGTCTTGCCGCTCCTTATTCCTTCGTCCATCGTGATCTCACCCAAAATTTGAAAACTTCAGCACACAAAACTCAACAGAAACCTCGTGAGATCCGTTAGTATAATAGACAAATCATAAACTTTAGGTACTGTTATGAACCCATTCCTATTTTACTCTTGCATAATACCTATTGTATTCTAACTTCGTTATGACTTATACGCCCCCCCCCCCATATAATCCTTGGCATCATTAAAACAAGCAAACTATGCAACAGAAAACAGAATCTATCTAAAACAGAACATTCTGTAATGGTCTGAACTAACACTATACTTATATAACTCCAAAAAATCTGAAAAAATAGGATAACTTGGGAAATTTGTATATCAATCATGTGTAAATATTTCATAATTTTATCACGTTCCAGTGAATTATAGTAATTCCAGCACTGCGCGCAAAAGTTTCTGTTTTTCACAGAATCAAGTCAACTATCAACCAAATCATCCCAAAAGGCTTTACTTGGCACAAAACTAATTAAAACATAAAAGCACAATCATAACAATAGCAATAATTGTGTCAACATACCAAAACAGAAAGTAAAAGCAAAAATTTAAGATAATTATTGGGTTGCCTCCCAACAAGCGATATTGTTTTGCGCCCCTAGCTAGGCATAAGGCATTGTTTCAAGTATTATCATCCTTAGTTCTCACCATCCTAGATGGGATTTTCTCAAAGCCTGGAGGTTCCTTACGCTTACCATTAATTTCAGAGAATGAAGCAATTTTATTATCTAGGGTATCAAGCTTCTTGTTGCAAATGGTAAGAAGGGAATTCAACACCAGAGATAAACATTAGCAGTCGTCATTAATTCCACTAACCACATTGTCATCACACTGAAATACCATTTAGAAATAAATGAACTTTCAATAGTGTCTAGTGTTATTATCAACTTATCTAATATATGTTTCCTTATATTTTTGCACCCATTTCAGTGGCTAAAGATGTAGTAATGTGGAAACGGGAATGTACAGGGAAACAAACACACTCATGATGTTGCACGAGAGGTGCATTCGAGCATACATTGTGATAACTACCATTTTAGGAAACTAATATGGCGCAAACATTCTAAATAACATCCCTAATAGCATGACGATGGTGCATATGTACAATCACCTGGTGTTGCGGCATGGATGAGATCACTGTGATATCATGGGTGTGTGAATGTTGTTATGGGCCATTGAGCAATAACGTGTTGCACCATTGCACTTCTTTAAGAAAAATCAACGCTGGTAAATATGCAGGTAAAAATATGATACACAAATGTGGTTTAACAATTGTGTAAGTCGTATATGAGAAATCCCATATGTTTGCAATTTAGGTTGTTGATGGCCATTCGGCGGTGGCACACTCGACCCAACTGTCCATGCGCATGTCGACAATGTTGTTGACGTGTTTCCTACCCCTCCACTAACCCGCCTCGTTATATCCGCCTCTCCCCTCCTCATCCCTCTCGCATTTCTCCACCTACCCAAAGCCCTTTCTCCACCAGATCTGACGGCCTCATGGCTAGGTTCGGGTATTCCTCGAGGGGACGGAGGCACTGTCGACCTCCTCTCATGGCTTTCCTCGGCATAGTTGCCGTCATGGTCTTCCTTTATGACGAATTCTGCTCGATTCGTCCCGGAGGTGCCCTTCAAAATAACCCCCCTTCCTATTCATTGCATTGCCTAAAGATTTTCTCTCCTTTCAGTTCTTGGCATCGCGATGGTCCCAGGCCCTCAGCTAAGGTCTGCATCTGGGATCCCACTGGTTCGAAGCCCCTTCCATATCCCTTAGTCTCCTGTCAGGCTCTCCCCCTCCCATTTTCGGAGACACGAGAGATCTTCTTTATACGAAGATCTAGCGCTTCAGTTTTGGTTTCAAGGAAACTGAAGCTGGCAGTCGTGGAACCGTTGCATGCGCTATCTTCCATGGATTGGTGTCGATTCTCTTCGCTCGAGTCGGGGAATGTATCATGCCCCACCTTCTGCTCTGGCTTGAGTGGAGTTTCATCTAAAATCCCGTGTGTGTCCAGAGGCAGCCATCCCTCTCAACCTCCTTCACTGGAGGCATACATCATGGTCTTTGGATCCAGATCTTCGCCAAGTAGGTCTTCGTCGTTGGTTGATATTCCAGAGTTATGCCACCAACCGTACAAGGGGCTTATTCCTCTCCTACTTATGATGCTCTGCATGATCCTCGTCATCGACGAGCTTGTGCCCTTCCTTGTCCAGAGGCTATCAGATGAAGTAGTCTTTGTCCTCTTTTCAGCGGGTGGCCATCATCTTCATCACCGGCGTTCAGCTATGGGGCCTATATGATTGTGGCCTCTCCCTGCGTGTCTGAGTGGCACAAGTTATCTGGTGCGTTGTTGTAATTTGCCCCCTGGTGTGTATGGTATTTACTTCTTGTAAATTAAGAACAAATGGAAGATCTTTCATTTCAAAAAAATAAAATCCCATCGTTTATCTTTTCCACTAGTCATTGATGAGATTCCAGCTGGCTTACCTTTTATCGACTTACCAAATAAAATTGTATTTTTTGTAAGCCAATAAATGATTACTTTTTGTAAGCCAATAAATGATTACCAAATAGGTTTTTATTACAAAATAAAATCTTTTTATACTAGTACATTAATATCGACAGATAATCATGGGCTAGCGTATTAAAATATCTATACCCTATTGTCACGCAATTTTTTTTCTTTTTCTAAGATGCACGTAAAGTATATGTCTTTTTATAAAGAAGAAAAAAAAACGTGCTTCCTACCGCTTATTTCCTCCACTGGTCACCGACGAGGTTCCAGTTGGCACGGACATGCGGACGCCGCCCGCTTGCATCCCTAGTAGGGGTGACACGTGGACACCGCCCGCTTGCATCCCTAGCAGAGGTGACACGCGCCACATGCTCCATAAGGTGAGCCCCACAGGTAACATAGGTGCGGGATCGTGAGGCCGCCCCACAGCCGTCCATCCGATGATCCGTAGGTAGGAAGTTTCCGCTTCCGCAAGGCGCCATTGCCAGTCGATGCGTACTAGCCACGGCCAGTGCAGCAGTACACTGAATGCCGATGGAGCTTGCCAAAAAAACGGTGCGTCGCCAGGCTGTGAGCCGCGGTGCAAAAGTGGCGCCTTGCGAGGCCCAGGCGAGCTCACCAAAGAAAGAAAGGCAAGCAAACGGGCCGGACGGACGGGCGGGCGATCGAACACGCGCACCGCGCACGCACGCACGAGTAGCCACCGGCACCGTCCCAACGGACGGCGATTAAAGGCCACCTTAAAAGCGCGTCGTCTCCCACCGCTCCGCTCCCTCCCTCGCGATTCGATCCATCACCACCGTCTCCACCGGCACGACCCATTTCCGTCGGCGGCGCTGCTCGCTTTGCACTGCCAGCACGGCGGACGTCCCCGGCGCGAGCGCGCAGGTAAGCATGGAGCGCATTGGCGAGGCCCACCAGGTGCACCAGCTGCAGCAGGTCCAGCAGCAGCAGCAGGGGGTGGCGGCGGCGGCGTCCTTCGGCGTGGTCGAGCACTCTGTTGTGGCGGCGGCGGCGGCGGCGGCGACCAAGCCGAGGGCGCCGGGGCTGCCGCCGACGCCGCCCGCGTCCTTCGCCGGGCAGCAGCGCGGTGCGGGCGGCGACGTGTGCATGGACGACTCCTCGGGGGCGGCGGGGCGCAAGCAGGTCGTGCCGGCGCACCGCCGGTCCCGCAGCGAGGTGCCGTTCGCGGGCTACTTCCCGCCGCCGACGCAGCAGCTGCCGCAGCCCAAGGCGGAGGCCGGCGGCTGGGGCGACGGCACCGGCGGCGACGACCTGTTCAGCTCGTACCTGAACCTGGAGGGGATGGACGTGCTCAACTCCTCATCGCCCGACAGCAGCGCCAAGGCCGACAGCAGCGAGAACGGCGACTCGGAGGAGTGCGCCGCCTGGGGCGCTGGCGCGGGCGTCAAGAGGAGCGCCGCCGGGGAGCCGGCGATGGCCGGGCGGCACGCCAGGAGCCTGTCCGTGGACAGCCTCATGGGGCGGCTCAACTTCGCTTCCCCCGGCGGCGCCGCCAACGGCGCGGGCGGCATGTTCAGCCTGGAGTTCGGCAGCGGCGAGTTCTCCCCCGCCGAGATGAAGAAGATCATGGCCGACGAGAAGCTGGCCGAGATGGCCCTCGCCGACCCCAAGCGCGTCAAGAGGTACGTCGTAATCCATTCGATCATCGCCCCAATCAATCAATCGATCAAGACCGCGAATCCTTGCCAAAGCTTCTCCATTGATGATCGGCGATTGCTACTTGCCTAAAATGCGCTGTGGATCATGAGAACTGAGATCGAGTTTGGATTGTGTGCGCAGGGTGCTGGCGAACCGGCAGTCGGCGGCGCGGTCCAAGGAGCGCAAGATGCGGTACATCGTGGAGCTGGAGCAGAAGGTGCAGATCCTGCAGACGGAGGCCACCACGCTCGCCGCGCAGATCAACCTCCTGCAGGTACCATCTTCATCCGCCTCCTGCTCCATTTTTAATCTCATTGATTGATTGAAATTCAGTTGACTGATGGTTCGAATTCGATGGCGCAGCGCGACTCGTCGGCGGTGGCGACGCAGAACAACGAGCTGAGGTTCCGGCTGCAGGCCATGGAGCAGCAGGCGCAGCTCCGCGATGGTACGTTGCGTTCACCCTTGTCGTGCGTGCTCGATCTGCTCGTCAACGTCCGACCGACCGATCGATCCATCCACCGATGTGCTCGGCACTAGACTAGAGTCTACATAGATGGTCCTTATCGTATCACGGCTCCTGACGTTGACATGTTTATCTGTGTGTCCAGTCCTAGTCGTACGTGTGCTCCGCTCACGACCGCAGCTCTGAATTCCCTCGGTAGGTACGCAGGTAGCTGAGTTCGCTCCATACCGGTAGTCGTTGGCATGTACTCGATGTCGGTGCTAATCCATTACGCCAGCAGCAGCAGCAGCACGGATGTGCTTAGCACTTGCACTTGACAATGATCAAGAACCAAGATTTGCTCATGTTTTTAAATTGACTCTGCACATAAAATAGGTTGCTTTCTCTCAAGATGCTATGGAGTTGCCGGCATGAACGCACGTACTCCAGAGTCTTCATTCATACTTGTTACATCCCATTTTATTCATTTTGATGACAAGTATTTCCGGACGGAGGGAGTAGCTGATTAGAAATAGATTGATTTGGACTCCAGAGTCTTCATTCATACTAGTTTTGCAAGTGTTTCTTTAAGCTCATGGTTCTAACATTCACTTCTTCTCCTTGTGTTCTTGAGCAGCTCTGAACGAGGCGCTGACAGGCGAGGTCCAGCGCCTCAAGATCGCGGCGTTGGAGCTCGGCATCGGCGACTCCTGCTCCTCCAACGGCATGGCCCAGCAGCACAGCCTCATGTTCCAGCACCACCAGCAGCAGCAGCAGGAGGCTACACCCATACCATTCTACCAACTGCAGCACCAACAACAGCAACAGCAGCAGCAGCAGAACGGCACAGCCAACAAGCATGAATCAAGGGAGTGATGGCGATGATCGCAGAGGCATTTATTTGGACTAGAGAAGAGACATTGCAGATTGCAGACACCAAGGGAAAACTTTGGTTTAGAGTTGAACTGTGAATCCATATGGTTTTATTGACTCTTTTGTTTTAATGTCGTCGTTAATAATCGTTGTAAGTTTTTCCAGGCGGTGAGCCCTGCATGTACTTTCTTTTTCCTTCTTATTATGTTCATTGATTCTGTGGATATGTTACCTTTCAGTCACCAAAACTGGTGGAGCAGTAGTTGATTAATAACATATTCTTTTGTAGTATTATTAGTTTCTATATCTGTTGGGTATTTTCTGCAGCTTCGTCGCTTGGGGATACACCTGACATCTTTGTTCCTAAATATATTTAGACATTTTGGCAGTTTAATTTAAACTGCCAAAACATCTTATATTTAGAAACAACGGTCGTACAAAATAAGAATGCGGTAAGCATGACAGTTTTATTTTGAAGGGTGTGGCTAGACAAGGTCCGTTTTCTTTAACTAAATCCAATCTCGCCTAGGCCTTTGGTACTTTTCAAAGGGGTGACGCATCCGTGCATGAATCAAAATCATATCTTCCGTTTTATTTTTAGTCAAGTGATTTAAGAGATCCCTCGCCTTAACCAAATCATGTCTTACATTCAGCTTGTTCAGGGATCCCTCGCCTTAACCAAGTCTGAAAGAAAAAGAAATATCTAAAAGAAATATTTGCACAGATCCTAATGTAAGATCTCATGAATACAGCATCGATTGAGACATAAGTCGACTGAAATTTATCAAGACTGTATTTTGAAATCGCACGCTATTTCACTTATATTTGTTGTTATCCAATTCCTACAGTTATACTATCTTTAGACAAATACCCATGGGTTCTGTAGGTACTCCCTCCGTTTTTATTTACTCCACATATTAGCATTGACTGAAATCAAACTTTATAAAGTTTAATCAAGTTTGTAGAAAACAATATGAACATTTACAATAACCAACGTATATGATGTGAAAATATATTCAATGATGAATATAATGGTATTGATTTGGTGGTGTATATGTTAATATATTTTTCTACAAACTTGATAAAGTTTATAAAGTCTGACTTTAGACAAAAGTTAATATGCAAAGTAAATAAAAATGGAGGGGGTACATATAACTACTTAACTGGAGTAATAACAATTGCCATAATATTCCCTTTAGGAAGACATAGAACGAATGCCATGGCAATGCCAAGAACTAGATATTTCAGATTGGACTAGTGATACAAAGAAGTTAGAAGCACAAGGAGACACAATGATAAAAGTTCATACCCCGACTAGAAGGGTGCAGAAACTTAAAAATCAACATATATACGAGGAAAATCAGTTGTTTTTAGGCCTAACCCACAGAGTCCTCAACCATGGCTTCACTGTCAATATCTGCATCCCCGGCCTCACTACCGTCCCGAGTCTCAGCATCAGACTCGCTATCTTCAACAAAGTTTCCTGGGAGCTTCTTTTCAGGATCAAGAAGTCCAATCATATGATTAATAGCTCGACGACCATCGGCATTAGTCTGGCTACCAGCTGAGTGGCCATCAGAGTTAACCAAACTGGTCAGAGCATCAGCTGCTGTTCTTTCTCCTGCGTCATCATCGTGTCCTTCAGAGGGGTCACCACCCACGTCTTCCGAGCAGCACGGAGACTCATTCTCCCCATTGACAGATGGTCCTGTTTCCACTGCCCAGCTACCGGCAACTTCTGAGGCCAACAGATCAGCTGTGCGAATAGTTCCATCCTGCGTGTCATCAGGTTTGCTCGCAGAGCAGTCGCCCTCACGTTTCCCTTCAGAACACTGACCAATGCCATCTTTGAGGGTTAGGGGTTGTTGTTCCTCATTAACTAGTGGCAGCCCTCCATCTTTTGGAATCAAGTTAGATTCCTCGGTTTCTTGTTGTGCCTGCATTTCATCCTCTAGCTGCAAAGTCTCTCCCCCCATAACGCTGTTAATGGAATTATGATCATTGCAGCCAACATTGCCAATTTGGCTTTCTGTCTCCAAAACTTGCTCGGTCTCTTACTCAGGAGCTGTAGCAGTGTGATCACCATGAGAATCAGATCCGATTTTCTCTACTGTCCTATCTGGACTAGTGCACTCTAAGTCTTGAGTGCCCCCTTCAATTCTGGTACCACCATCCTGCTGCTCGGTCATATCAGCATCCTCATCGGTGGAACTATGTTCGCTTGCTTGGGTATTCTCTGCTGAAGCACCCGAAGCTTCCAACGTATCGTTTGCGTAGTCTGCTGGCTTTACACGGGCATTATCGGTGTTCACATTTGCTACAGGTACTTCATTGAGATCAAGACCCAGCAAGGTGCTCTCATAGTTCTCTTCGTCCTCTAAAGTTCTCTGCATAGCCTTAAGCTGTTCCTGCTGTTTTGCAAATAGAGAAGAGATCTCTTCCGTGGTTGAATAGAAAGCACGCAGTTGGGTCTCTCTGCAATAAGCAACAGAGGAAAGGAAGGCATTGTATAAAAAGTTAGTTCCACAAACTTGGACTCACATTGTTTATATATGATGCCCAAATTAGATGCTTACCGTAAAATAACTCTTTCTCTGGCCCCTTGATACCTACGCTTTTCAATTGATAGATCTCTCATTGTAGCAGCTACTTCAAGTTCAAGAGATGAGACCTTTGCCCATGCTTCTTCCCGAGCAGCCTGCTAACAAAGCATGTGTATTATCAGATTGTAAGTAAAGGAGTGTAGCCCCTCAAAGGATGGATCATACATGGAATAGAACAAACTTCTGCTGTTTGAAATATATGATACAACTTCGAACCCATGAAAAACCAGAGTCAATAGCACAACAGAAAAGGAACCCTGATCTTATGAAGAAAGCAAAGGAAGACCAATATAATTTGCCGATGTGATGAAACATCAGAGAAACAGAAAGAGTCCAATTATGTGACTGGAACATTTTTCTACCTTCTCATTTTCAAGTTCTTTCTTGAGCTTTCGCAGTTCAGTTTCCAGATTATCAGATTTCTGCAATTGCAATAGCAAAAAAAGAAAATGTTATACGACATTGAAGTACAAAAGATAAAAATACTTTTCACGGATGTAAGTTGTACAAAGTTTAACATGTGCGGAACCTCATGATACCTTCTGACTTTTAGCAGACACAAGCTGCTCATCCTGGAGTTGAGTCTCCAGTTCTCGCACTTTTTTCTCAGATGTTACAAGGCTTTCACGAGAGTCTTCCTGCATGAGAATGCAGCAGTTGAAGTACAGCAACGGAATGACATTACTTAAGATGAATAACTGCAACCAAAATAATTGTGCATACCAGCTTGGACCTTAATGTTTCCACGAGCAAACGGGTGTCTTTTTCCGATTCCTGAAAAATAATAAAACTCTATTTTTAGTATATGATATCACGAACATGAATTAGTCACCTGACCTTTGACTAGAATTGGAAGAGGATTAAACCTGAAGCTTGATGATAAACTCTTTCTGTTCCTTTTGTTGTTTAAGGTAAGCCTCTGTCTGTCTCTTCATTTCGTCTTGAGCCTCTGCTTGTACTTTATGCAGTGCAGATTTAAGGTCTTCTGCAGCCTTATCACGCTCCTCTATTCTTAAGTTTCTCTCCTCACTTAGCTGTTCCTCAAGCTCGCATATATTTGCCTTCTGGCTGAAAACATTTCAACTTTATATAAGTGGTGCTAGTACCGGAGTTAATACATGGAAAAAACTATTTAATTTATTTTCATAAGGTTAACCTTCCATCCCTGGAGCAAAAAAAGTGCAGTATGAAAACTTAGACTTGGCCTGTTCGGAACGCATTTCACAGCTTATTTGTAGGGAATATAGCAATTCCTCTAGAATTCCTATCAAAATCATGATTCCGACCCAGGAATTTTTCACAGATTATGGAATCCATGCACCCTTAGATATAGAAAGTTACGAGCAAAATCCTCTGTATTGTCAGAGTGGTAATGAAAATCCAACAGCTACGAAGCTTACCTTTGAATTATCTCATCAGCATCAGCACGTGATTGCTTTGATGCACTAAGCCTCTCATCCAGATCTTTTATGGAATTCTGTAACTCTGTATTTAATGTACTAAGAGTATCTAGTTGTTTCTGTTTCCCCTCTAGTGCTAGCTGAAGAGATTTAGTTTGCTCGAGATAAGAACTTGATGTAGTTTCTTTGAACTCCTTCAGTTCCTGCATTATCAGATTTGCACCAAAAAATTGGTTACAGGGAAGGGCGGTCATGAGTATAATTTCATAATCATATAGTTGCTGAAAACAGATGGACAATTTTAATCGAAAAGGGAACAAAATGTTTGCATTTGAAATCAGAATACATACTAGTGTATTACATCAACAAGGCAATAAATATAAAAAACAACTTGGCAACACCAACAATCTTTCTTGCACTAGAATATGCAAGAGCATTATTGGCTTATTACGTTGACTGAAGAAAAAATAGAAATAACCCTGTGATATGCAGTACACTCATATATCTTCTAAAATCATAAGCAAGTAACTATTTGTGTTTGTACCTTTTCATGCTGCTCTTCAGCTGTTTTGCTTGCAGTTCTCAATGTCTCAATTGTCACAACATGTGCCTCGAGTTGTTCCCTGAGCTCCTGCATGGATTTTAGCTTAATAAGATAATAGAGATACAAGGGCGATTAACTATTGTCATCTTGAAGGAGCCAACTTACTGCATTAGATTTTTCTAGTCTTCGAACATCATCTAGTGAAACAGGACCATCAGATGAACCAATGCCCAGACCCTTTAGCCTCTTGCTTTCAGAACCCATCTCCCCTTTAGGATCAAATATATAAATGGACAGACGTATCTCAGAACATGCGGTGTAGTTGCAAAATGTGATGAGCAAATCATAAGACAACATATTCACACTCTTACCTGATTTTCTTTTAAGTATGGTAGTACCATTCCCTACGCAGCTGACTGCATTAACTTCCCGATAGACAAATGCATAGGAGGCATC